TATGAGTGGTTATGAACGAATGAATGAAACGCATTTGTCCGTGTTTCACTCCGTCTCGAATCGCGCTCGCAAAAAGCGCTTGAGAAACAGTGTCTCTCGGTACGCTTTCAACTCATTTTTTCCCATTACATGCTACGTATTCACATTACATGATTTGACTGATTTTTACGTAGAAAGGGCGACAGCGAACCACATTAAAAGAAATGATCATTCATGTTTTCATAACCGCTGGCCAAATTCAAAAATGAAACTAAAATTAAATCATCTTTGAGAGCAAGGGTGCCCCCTGGTGTTTCGGGGGCCCTACGCAGCTTGCGTATTTTGTGTATAGGGAGGATCGGCTCTGTTTATACCATAGTCCAGTGTTTCCCACAGACTTACACTCTGTTTGTGGCGGCATATATATGCAAACTCATTCTCTACGAGCAGGAGGCGCTGTTGGAGTGGTAGAAATCGAGGTTTCCCCGGTAACGGCTGTGCATAAAGCAGCGCTCCACTCACAAACGCTGCTTTATCAGACATTACATGCAAGATGCCCCTACCCCTACCGCTGAGGTATCTCAGATGAGAAGATCTGTTTATCTTGGCTTTTTATCCTTGCAGCACCAAAGCAGAATTAATATAAGGTAATTATTTTACAACTTCTGTTATTTGAAAAATACCGAGGTCCGGACCTCGGGGACCTCAATGGTGGGTACGGCCCTGGCTGTGACATGTGTAATGACATTTATAAAGATTCTTTGAATGAAGATTCTTTAAAGGTTTTATGAACAGAGAGGTGACTCTTGAGGGACCAGCACTTTAGATTAAGTCAGAAAACAAAAATGTGGTGAGTGAGTCCTGGTGTGAGCTGCTAACAATGAGCTAAAGGGACGCTTCTGGAAGATGGACTCCCAAAACTACTGTCATTCTTTAAACAGTGTTACAACCAGTCAAACAGTCAACCTGCCACAGGCTCTTCTCATAGCCTATAGTTCTATTCAGCAGTCATTGAATCTGTCCTATGCAGGGCCATTGAATGTTGGTCATGATTTTTGGGGAACCAAGTTTTCGGGGCCCCACAGAATGTACACGCTTCTGTCATCTCAGGCCTCAATGGTGTCATTATAATGGTTTCCTATGTGGAAGAGAGAACATTCTTCCTTTTGTTATAATGCAATATTGTGCCAATGTTTTATTGAGAACATAATCTGTTACCTCAACAACATCCTCAAAATGATGCAGTTAAAATGTTATAGCTTTGTTAATACATTAATAGAACATTTAATAAAAATCATTCCATTATCTCATACCTCAATGATATGCTTATAATGCTTTTTTAAATTTTGCCATCACATTTTGAAGCATCTGAAATGTCATGCAAAAGTAAGCCCTTATTTGTGTCCTTTGTGATCTTTAGCAGCGGTTTTCAATTCCAATCCTTGTACTTCAAACGTCTATAGCCATAAGAGATACATACAAAATATGCAGAGCGGGGGACTCGAGGACTGAAATTGAAAACTGCTGAGCTATAGGAAGCTCAGAAGGGAAGACCAAGAGACTCTGGTGTATATTCAGTAGGGTTGAAAACGTGCTGTGTGGCACTGCTAGAGTTGGGGTACTCGATCTTGGACTCAGACTCGAGTTTGAGCTCGAGTCCAATTATGAACAACGGACTCAGGAATTTTTTTGGGGGGGGGCTAAATCACGTTTTAGATTCTAGATTTCAACAACCGCTTAAAAATAACTGCATTTACTATGTACAGATAACCCTGCAAACAAGCCTGCACTGGTCCTTTATGGGCTGCCAGTGCAGGGCCCCTGAGAATTTGCTCATTGGCAAAACGTTGGCCCCTTAGCACTGGCCCTGCACGGGCAGCCCTCACTTAGCCTCCAGGAAGCCTTAGTGCTGTTTTATTGAAAATAATAAAGTTTGAAGTCACCGTTATAGAGGTAAGCGCTTGCTTTAGTTGGGCTCCTGACCCTTGACTTTTTTAACTTAAGTTTTTGTCTGGCTGCTGTAACTGTGTGTTTTTGAAGCACATTTGTTATAGTAAAAGTTGTGATGATAATGATAATAGTAATTACACTTTACCTTTTATAAAAAAGTAAAAAGCACATTTTGGGAATTTAATTAATGTAATGGTGAAAAAAATGGCAAAATAGGCCTACTTGGGGGTAAAATTTGAAAAACCTTTGTTAGGTATTCGGCCTTCGGCCCAGTGTTTCATTTTGTTCGGCTTCGGCCAAGAATTTTCATTTCGGTGCATCCCTATTATTTATACCCAGTGCCGATCCTAGACTTCTGGGGGCCCTACGCAAAACTGTGTAGGCAAGGGAGCGGGGGGGAGGTATGAGTGGTTATGAACGAATGAATGAAACGCATTTGTCCGTGTTTCACTCCGTCTCGAATCGCGCTCGCAAAAAGCGCTTGAGAAACAGTGTCTCTCGGTACGCTTTCAACTCATTTTTTCCCATTACATGCTACGTATTCACATTACATGATTTGACTGATTTTTACGTAGAAAGGGCGACAGCGAACCACATTAAAAGAAATGATCATTCATGTTTTCATAACCGCTGGCCAAATTCAAAAATGAAACTAAAATTAAATCATCTTTGAGAGCAAGGGTGCCCCCTGGTGTTTCGGGGGCCCTACGCAGCTTCAGTGCCGATCCTAGACTTCTGGGGGCCCTACGCAAAACTGTGTAGGCAAGGGAGCGGGGGGGAGGTATGAGTGGTTATGAACGAATGAATGAAACGCATTTGTCCGTGTTTCACTCCGTCTCGAATCGCGCTCGCAAAAAGCGCTTGAGAAACAGTGTCTCTCGGTACGCTTTCAACTCATTTTTTCCCATTACATGCTACGTATTCACATTACATGATTTGACTGATTTTTACGTAGAAAGGGCGACAGCGAACCACATTAAAAGAAATGATCATTCATGTTTTCATAACCGCTGGCCAAATTCAAAAATGAAACTAAAATTAAATCATCTTTGAGAGCAAGGGTGCCCCCTGGTGTTTCGGGGGCCCTACGCAGCTTGCGTATTTTGTGTATAGGGAGGATCGGCTCTGTTTATACCATAGTCCAGTGTTTCCCACAGACTTACACTCTGTTTGTGGCGGCATATATATGCAAACTCATTCTCTACGAGCAGGAGGCGCTGTTGGAGTGGTAGAAATCGAGGTTTCCCCGGTAACGGCTGTGCATAAAGCAGCGCTCCACTCACAAACGCTGCTTTATCAGACATTACATGCAAGATGCCCCTACCCCTACCGCTGAGGTATCTCAGATGAGAAGATCTGTTTATCTTGGCTTTTTATCCTTGCAGCACCAAAGCAGAATTAATATAAGGTAATTATTTTACAACTTCTGTTATTTGAAAAATACCGAGGTCCGGACCTCGGGGACCTCAATGGTGGGTACGGCCCTGGCTGTGACATGTGTAATGACATTTATAAAGATTCTTTGAATGAAGATTCTTTAAAGGTTTTATGAACAGAGAGGTGACTCTTGAGGGACCAGCACTTTAGATTAAGTCAGAAAACAAAAATGTGGTGAGTGAGTCCTGGTGTGAGCTGCTAACAATGAGCTAAAGGGACGCTTCTGGAAGATGGACTCCCAAAACTACTGTCATTCTTTAAACAGTGTTACAACCAGTCAAACAGTCAACCTGCCACAGGCTCTTCTCATAGCCTATAGTTCTATTCAGCAGTCATTGAATCTGTCCTATGCAGGGCCATTGAATGTTGGTCATGATTTTTGGGGAACCAAGTTTTCGGGGCCCCACAGAATGTACACGCTTCTGTCATCTCAGGCCTCAATGGTGTCATTATAATGGTTTCCTATGTGGAAGAGAGAACATTCTTCCTTTTGTTATAATGCAATATTGTGCCAATGTTTTATTGAGAACATAATCTGTTACCTCAACAACATCCTCAAAATGATGCAGTTAAAATGTTATAGCTTTGTTAATACATTAATAGAACATTTAATAAAAATCATTCCATTATCTCATACCTCAATGATATGCTTATAATGCTTTTTTTAAAATTTTATTTTATTTATATATATATTAGGGCTGTCAATAGATTAATCTGATTAAACATTTTATCACACACTGAAATTAAGCACAGTCCATTTATCTTGTTTCAAATGGTTATTTTGTCATCATTTGCTATATTCAGCAAAGTAAACCAAAAGATTGAAGGGTGATTCTCAAAAATCTGTATTTTCTGCAAGCGTTTCTCAGGATAAATGTAGATGTCTTTCCAAAAAAGGACTCCAAAAGAACTCCAAAACTCCAAAAGGATACTGCAAAAGGACACCAAAGAACCAAATGATATAAGGAGCCCATATGAGCACATATGAAAGAAAAAAAATGCAAAAAAAAAAATATATATCTGAATTGTATAGTATGTGTACAGCGCAACAGCAAATAGCTTTTTTTACATTTTAGAGAAGTCAAGTTGCTTAACCACAATCTCTGATGTAATCAGCCTGGTTTCCTTTATATTAGCGCTGTTTTGGACGAATTGTTTGAATGCATTCTGGATAATTGGACTGAAAACTTTCCCGGAGTTTAGCATCTTAAAATTATCTGATCGCAAGCAGAGAAGCAACAGTAATTTTGCGTTAACTGCATTACATTATTTTAACGCGTTAAAGTTGAAGGTGATGATCCTTCATCCAGCAAGAAATGTCTGTTAGACAAGCTGAGATGCGTGCAGCTATCGTCAGATCACCAGCATGGAATGAGAGGTAGAGTTGAGTGTCAATAGCATAGCAGTGATATGAAAAGCCATGTTTCTGAATTACAGAAGGAAGAAGGGAAACCGGTTTGTAGTTCTCTAAAAGAGATGGGTTAAGGGTGGGTTTCTTATATATATATATATATATATATTTAATTTTTGTATAATTTGTTACCTAAATAACATCCTCAAAACATCCTCAAAATGATGCAGTTAAAATGTTATAGTTTTGTTAACACTTCCCATTATGAGAACGTTTTATGAAAACATTTTGGTATCTCAGACCTCAATGATATCCTTATAATGTTTTCCTAATGTGGCTGAGAGAATGTTCTTCATTTGTTATCATGAAACATTGTGCCAATGTTTTATTAAGAATATTGTATAATGTTAGCTAAAAAAATAAAAAAATCCAAAACATCCCTAAAATGTTGCAGTAAACATGTTATATCTTTGTTCACACTTAACATTATAGGAACGTTATTTGAAATGAAAAAATATCCTCAAAACATTCTTTAAACATTTCATTCAAATGTTTTATTTAAAACATGAAGCAAACTTGTACAGAATATTAGAAAATGTTCATAAATGTTCCCTGCTAGCTGGGGATAAATATTAAATTTTTACAAATCATTTGATGTTAAAACATTTATCACATCCCTTACAGAAAAAAAAACTTGAATTTCTGATGTTTTCCATGTGATCACGTGTGGACAACAAAAAACCCAATGAATGCTGATGGATCTTTCTTTTTTATAGCAATTGCCTTCTTTCATCATGATTCATTTTTATGCCCTTTCCCTTCACATTTCTCACAAATTTTTTTTTAAAAGATTTACTGGAAATTAAATAATTTTACTTTCATTTTAGACCTTATGGAAGAGAATAAGGAGAGTGAAGAAACTTATGTCAGAACAAGAAAAAAAATTTTTTTTTTCAGTTTTTTAAACCGAAATAAAGACTCAAAACAGTTTTCCATACAAAGAACCTAAACTTAACATTTCTTTCACATGTGAGCAATGTGGGAAGAGTTTCCAACAAAAAGGAAACTTACATTTAAATTCAATAAGTATTTGGTCATTAATATTATTTTTTGTAAAAAAACAAACAAACAAACAAAAAGCAGCACTGTATTGGTTAAACTATTGTATCCATGTTCCTTGTTTATAGCCATGATATTCCAGAATGTGGCTGCAGTTATTATCGCTGTCAATTACAAATTTGCTAGTGACATGGGATTTACTTTATGATCTGTTGAAAAAAGTTTTAATAAAAAAAACTGAACAATTTATGTTTCATTATCCAGTAATAATAATAATAATAATAATAATAATAATAATAAAAACCTAAGCAATAATTGAAAAGTTTAATATTTCTCACTACGTGAACGTGACTGAAGTTACATATGAAAAGTGTGACGATCAGGATAAAAACAACAGCCACGTGTCACGCTCGACGTGTCAATAGTCCACTCGTCAATAGGGGGCGGTAATGCACTTATATGTGTACGATCCGACGTAACACAAGAAGATGACGTCACCACTGGCGTCATCAGTCAGCGTTTGTCTCCTGAGGTAAGACAATCAGTTCACTGTGCTTCATATAATTGTACAATTATAAAAACAGTTTGGTAAAGCAGCATTTTACAGAGTCATTCTGTATCGTTTTCATCTGGTTCAGCGCTATTTGTGCGTCTTTTCTGGCATCTGCTGTCTGAAATAAACGTTCAGCCTAGCAGACAACAACAATGTGAGGAACGTTAATGCTAAATACATTTAAGAGCGATAATGGTATTGTTTTTGAATGTCACTTGATCAAAAGTCAAAGTACGATCTGTGAGGGGAATTAATGGGAGTCGAACTTGATTTGTTTTCAAACAAATTCACATATTCTATGTATTTATTTTTTGGCTGTGGGTTAATGCATTTTTAGCATGATCTATTTTGACATGAAGAGGCTTGCTTGATTGTAACACTAAATTTGATGATGAAAGCATTGAATTGATAACTGGTTTATTTTTTACAGCAATTCACCTACAGTTCAGTGTTTTCAAAGCAGTTTACCAATAAATGCTGGAATGTTCCCATTAGCCTAAAATTGAAGAAGATAAAGTTGGTGTGAGAAAATTGAAAACATGGATGAGCCCTGCGGAATAAAACAGGAAGATATTGAACAACAAATAGGTTGGTGTTTGTTCTTAATTCTTTACGGTTATAAAACTTAAAGCTGCAAAAACAAATTTTGGAAGAAAAAAAGATTTTCTTCCTTAGTATTGTTGTCTTGTTTTCTAGTATAAATATAAAAATATTCTTGAATCAGGATGCATTTACTTGAAGTAAAATGACTTGAGACACAATGTCTTGTTTCCTGAAAAAAATGTCCAAATTGTGTTTTGCTTAAAACAAGCAAAAACATCTGCCAATGGGGTAAGAAAAATAATCTTGTTTAACCTTTGAATTAAGATTCTTTTTTCTTGCCCCATTGGCAGATATTTTTTGCTTGTTTTAAGCAAAAACTAACACAATTTGGATAATTTTTTCAGGAAACAAGACATTGTGTCTTAAGTCATTTTACTTGTCAAGTAAATGCATCCTGATTCAAGAATTTTTAGATATTTATACTAAAAACAAGACAAAAATACTCTTGAAATATACACTACTATACTACACTAAAAATACAAAAATATACACTACTGCTCAAACGTTTGGGATCACTTAGAAATTTTATTGTTTTCCATGGAAACACACATGAAATTAGTCTGAATAGGAAATATAGCAAAAGAACAGGACATGCTGACATTGTCAGAGTTAGAAATAATGATTTTGATGGAAATGATGAATGTGTTCTTCAAACTTTGCCTTCATAAAAAAAACAAACACCTTTTGCAGCAACTACAGCCTGGCAGACCTTAGGCATTCTAGCTGTCAATTTTTCAAGGTAACCTATGTGATTTCACCCCATGCATCCTGGAGCACCTCCCACAAGATGGATTGGCTCGATGGAGTCTTCCTCCGGACTAGGGATGCTCCGATCAGGATTTTTGCAGCCGATACTGAGTACCGATTTCTTGTCATGGTGATCGGTCGATACTGATGCCGATTCTGATGCTTCAAGCTTTATATAACTGATATGTAAGCTCTCTGATCACCGCTAACCTTTTTTTCAGATAAAGTAATACTATAAATGTTGCCTTTGTTATATTTTTACAGTAATTATGTAATATATGTAATGTAACTTGTTTTAACACCGTTCTAAATAATGACAAAAAAGTATTCACTATACAGTGAACATTTTAATATGCCTTTAAAATGGGGTTTATGCATATCAGGATACTTAATATAAGACAAAACTAAATAAACAAAATGGAGCAGTCTGATGCAACCCACAAGGTTTATTTAAACATTGTCCAATAGCAAACTGTGAAGGACAAAATAAACATTAAATCTCCTAAAATGGAGAAGTCTGACATTTAATATCCCAAAAGAACAAATTGTTATAATTTGCAGAGGTGGGAATTTCAAGTCACAAGCAAGTCTTCAAGTCATATCCCAAGTACTCAAAAGAGTTAAAGTTAATGTTAATGATGTAATTAAGTGACTAATTAAATGATGATTGTGCATTAGTAATGAACACCTGCTGTTAACAATCAACATCACTGAAGAAAAGAGAAACACAAGAACTACATCTGACTTTAGCCACAGCCTTGGATGAAATCAACACATACACACACACACACACACACACACACACACGATGCCACCATAATTGTGGTCAAGGTTTGCTTTAGTTGGTCTCTTGACACTTTTACTAATTCCAAAATTATTTGTTTTTAAGCAATTGCAATGTTGTTTCAGAGCAAACGTTCATGCATTGCTGAATCAAAACCTCAAAGTAGCAGATGAGCTTACATTTTCTGCATATAACTCATGATGAATGAACTTACATAAATTAAGTTTATTGACTGACCTTCAACTATTCCTGAACTGAAAGAAAAAAAAATCTCACTAAACAAATGCCTTCGTAAGGCTTTGATATTGAAAAAGAGAAAAATGTATGAGCTCAGACTTTTAGACATGAACACTTATCATATGATCCTCAACAGTGGTGACAATAATTATTCATACTGCAGTGCATGATGGGAGTTTTTTACTATGGTGTTACCCAGCATGCATTGCAGCATGAAACATTTTGTTGATTGTCACCATTGTTGAGATTCATATGCTGGTTATTGATGTCTGTGTGTGTCTAAATAATGCTGGTGTAAAAATTTGTATATGCATTGCATAGATTAAAATTTATTCACTGTAGCTACTAGAGCAGCACTTTGTTTGCATGCTGTAGTGTCACAGAACTGATTATACAAAACCTAAACTTATAAACAAATAATAAAAATATTTTGATTATGATCTGGCTAGCTCACGGTGACTTTATCATCATGTAAAAACAGCTAATAGCTGCATAGCTCTAATTTCTCTGCTTTACAACATCTCATGCATTGCTACAGAGAGAGATCTAGCACCAAAAGTGAAGGGTCAAGAGCCCAACTAAAGCAAACACTGATCTCCATGATGGTGAAATCATTTTAACTTTTAACCAGTAAAACATCAACATCTGATCCTCTGTAATTCTCAATAACAGCAAGTGTTCATCACTAATGCACAATCATCATTTAATTAGCCACTTAATTATCTCATTAACTTTAACTCCTTGAGGACTTGGGATATGACTTGAAGACTTGCTTGTGACTTGAAAGTTCCACCTCTGATAATTTGTATTAAACATTGTCCAATGTTAGAGAGAGAACAAAATAAATAAAAATATTTAAACTCCAACATGGAGAAGTCTGATGTAACTCATATGGCTTAATTAAACACTGTCCAATATAAGACTGAAGAGGAAAAAATAAATAGAATCATTTAAACTCCAAAAAGAACAAAATGGAGTAGTCTGATACAAAAAAAAAAACTAACTAACAGGAATATGATTTAAGTGATTGTCAAGCTGCAGAGTAGTCCTTTGGCCCCTTCCTACTTAATTAGGTAAGGCAAGTTTTTCTTTATGAAAAACACCAGGGAATCTCCAGATTTTGGGATGACAGGCTCAGAGAGGTACAGATTTATCTCAGGTGCTGCCGAATCTCTTTGGCTGTAAGCATTGCTGCCACTGGTGTTCTTGAGAATTTCCTCATGCATCTGCTGCAAAGAACTAGATGGAAGAGCTTTTAGTGTCGCCACAGTTTCTCCCATCTTCTCACCAGAGCTATGGCCCCGCCTCACTCGTACATCCAGCGCTTCCCCGAGCAGTCTGTGTGCCTCTGGTTTTATCTGATCATCATAATATCTATTCTTGTATCTTTTTTTAGAGAAGGAAAAAATAACCATCATTGCTAAATTTCAATTACATTAGCCTAAAATTATACTATACTATTTCATTTAATACTTTCACATACTACAACACATTTGTCACACTCAAAGCCTTTTTTTGTTTTACAGTTTTTTTTAATTGCTTTGGCGCAATTTTCACAAGCAACTGGTACATTTTCAAGACTCTTAGTACTAATATCCCAACAGATCATCAAAAGTGCACTGTTTTTGTGTTAGTACAATACACACAATCACAAAATATCCTTTTCACTACACAAAATAAGTGTTTCATCTATATAAATGTTTCATTCACAGTAACTGCCTTTCATAAAGCTATTACTATATCAAACTTTTCATTAGCATGACTTCTCATTCAGTTTAATACATTTATCTATTATTTAATCTAACTCATCTTTATGGTTAATCATTGAATCATTTGGTGCATCTATAAATATAGATTCAATAGATATTTAGTTTCTATAGCATGTGATTGCAATTTAGGGATAACCAAATGCACTGAATTATTTTTACACTAAAAGTGATTTATCTAAGATGATAACCACTATTTTGTAAGGGTTTTTGTAAGCTGTCGACCCAAAAAACGAGCGGTTAGGACACAAATAGTTGTAGATGTCGGGGTATTTCACGTTGGGCCATTCAGTTGGATCATTTCTCAAACAAAAGGAAGGTTAGGAAAAGGGGCACTGACATAGACCAATACAATTTAGTTTCTTAATATTTCTCCTCCCCTCAGGTTCACATAGGGTGGTGAAATAATCCTTTGACATGGTTAAAAATAATGAATGGTCTTGTCGTCGATTACGTTTCTCTTCAGTGGGCGCGGTTCTCAGAGTAATATGACATGTTGCGCTCTACTTTTGTGTCCTAAACGCTCATTTTTTTGGGCCGACAGCTTATAAAAACGTAGTTCTGGCAATTGCCTGTATTACTGTAATTATTTCAACAACAAAGGTGATTTGAAACATGAATCTTGCATTGTTTGCTCTTGAATGAACTGATTGTTAAAAGTACTAAATTGAAAGAAGATCATACTGTTGTGTTTTGGTGATTAATTCAAATGTTCTCAATACATATCACAATGATCTTGTGTTTTGAAACAATGATGAAAATATGTGCAACTACAATTAAATCATGAGATCAAGTTTTGAAAGAATGACTAGTGGTGTTACAAGTGTGATCGGTTTAAAGGTTTGTACTGAGTTTTGAAAATGTACACCTTACTTGTGAAAATAGTACCAAACCAATAAAAAAAAAAAACTGTAACTTGACGTGTACAATACCATAAGTATATGTAACCCTGCCTGTGTAAACCCAGCTAAAGTAATTGATTTACCGTTTTCTACATACAATTTCATATTTAAATGTTTTAAATAGGGCTGTCAAGTGATTAAAAAAAAAACAATCTAATTACATAATGTGCCAATTAATTAATCAAATTAATCTCAAATTAATGAGATTAATTAATTAACATGCACATCATGTGCCGATTAAAGATAATAGTTATTATCTTTAATTTAGAAAATCGTTAATTTAGAAAAAAAAACACTGAATAGACATTACAAAAAAGTAGCTGAAATATAAGTAGCTTTAGAAAGAAATATTTTATTTCAACATACAAAAATACAAATAGTGAAATATGACATTATTTAAAAAAATAAACGATACTCTAAATATAAAACTAAAAGCGCCAGTAGGTGGTGGCAAATCCCTGTCTTAAGTGAGTCATTCATTCATTCATTCATTCAAACAATTCGTTCAAGTGGCTGATTCATTCAGAAATGAACTGCTTTTATGAATGGTTCACTGAATCATTGATTCAGTCGATTCATTTAAAAACGTGGATTCATTAATGAAACACCGCTGTGTTGATCAGAGACGCACAACAGTTCTCCTTGGGCTTTATATTCGTTGGCGAAATTACTGACAATGTGTCTAAAATGTAATTATGTGAATTCTTTACCTTATCTTCATTTTTAGGTAAAAACTTTTATGTAACCTATTTTTGTCTTTCTACCAGTACCAGCCAATGATGATTCTGATAGAAAACAGGCAGTATTTGTTATAGTAACACATGCAACTTTCACGTGCATCTGACTGACAGAAACGTGAAATAAATATTTCACGTTTTTTTTATAAATATTTAAAAAATATTTTAGTAAATAAATACTGAACTTGTATTTCAGTGTTGCTATTAATATTATGGTCATTTTAGCAGATAGTTTGTTCAGTAAATTCAGTTCAGCAGCATTAAGTTGAAGAGTGTAAAATTTATCACTCGACTGAATCTACACATGCATTTTAGGTGTTCCTGCTCTGTCCAAGCAATAAATGCACATCTTTAAATGAGCGCTGTAGTGTATTCTTCAACCGCTCAGGTAATGTCAATACGACCCATTTCAGGGGCTGCCAAAATTATAGTTTAAAATCAGTCAGGGCTATAAAACTGCATATTAATATTTACAAGTAAATGTCTATCCATATTATGCGTAGGCTAGCCTTCTTTCATTCTGACCCCCCTACATCTAGTTTTGACGTCCATCAGGGGGGATCAAGCCTTCTTTAGGGGGGTCAGACCCCCCCAAACCTCCCTGTAATTCGCACCCTGCATAAAATCATCCTATATAATGTAATATAATGTTAAAAACATTGTGAAAATATAATCTTGATATATTTAATAGCCTATTGACTGAATAAGACCATTTCAAAGATTAAAATCATAGGGAAATTAATTTAAAAAATGAAACTCTGATGCTCGTCATCTCATGCGATCTCATTAGATTGAGATTTTAGGCTGGATTTCACAGACAGGGTCACATACTATATGAAATATATCATATACATTATATCTACAAAATTAATTAAGACCTTCCTAGGATCAAGGACCGTAGACACAACATACACTGGTTCCCTATCAATGTTTGATAACCTTACAACAGCTTCGAGAAGTGTTTGTTTCTATGTTTTTACTCCATGGTCCGAGTCGGAATCTCTCGCAAGGAGACACTTCAGGGCTCTGATAGATGGGATGACATCAGCCACAGATGATCTTAATGAGCTAATCTCTTTGGTCAACTCTTCAAAAGGTGCAAGAATGGAAACCATATTTTCAATTAATTTACATTTACATTTAGTCATTTAGCAGACACTTTTATCCAAAGCAACTTACAAATGAGGACAATAAAAGCAGTCAAAACTAACAAAAGAGCAACAATATATAAGTGCAAATGACAAGTCTCGGTTAGCCCCGGGCAGTTTTAGCAATGTGGTCTGAGAAATTCAGCTTATCATCAATCACAACTCCAAGGTTTCTAGCTGTTTTTGAAGGAGTTATGGTTGATGAACCTAACTGGATGGTGACATTTTGATAAAGTGATGGGTTTGTTGAAACCACAAGCAGTTCTGTCTTAGCCAGGTTGAGATGAAGGTGATGGTCCGTCATCCAACAAGAAATGTCTGTTAGACATGCTGAGATGTGAGCAGCTATCGTCGGATCATCAGGATGGAATTTCCACTGTGTTGCATTGAGATACGGGATGTCATAGTCAGCTGTGTATGCCATTAATGCACGTTTGTGTTCCAGCAGAGTGTTGAGCATATAGTAAGTACTATTCCATCGTGTGTCGACGTCCTGCTGCAACCTTTTAGGAGATTGGCCAAGTTGTTTTTGAATATCTCCTAAATGCGAGTATGCTTGGGGCGAATGCTTAAAATGCCCAACAATGCGCTGGCTAATAGCCACAGCATCACAGATAGCCCGCTGTGATAGGACTCCCTCGTGAACCACTAAGTGGAGAGTATGTGCCATGCACGGCACGCTGCGTAAGTTGCAGTCTCTCATGGCCTTTGCTATATTCCTTGCGACATGCACTTTCTCTTCAGGTATGTCCCAAGCCTGCAACATGTCTTTATATGTCGCGACTAAAGCCTCAGCAGTGTGTGCGCCAAGAAATTCCTGGGAGTGGAGAATCACTTTTTTTCAAAGTTTTCAGTTATCCACTGCGCTGTCAAACTTAATATGGACATAGGGGATACGCTAGAGCTCCAAATGTCCATTGTTAAACTCACCACGGTCACATTTTTGTGAAGTAGACTGTTTATGTGGCTGTTGACGATTTGATATAACTCTGGGAGAGCTACATCGGTAAAATATTTGCGCCGTGGCAGTTGATATCGTGGTCCAAGATGTGCAATAAGGTGTTTAAATCCAATGTCTTCTGTGACTGACAGTAGAGGTCTGCAAGCCCGTCGGGTCCCGACACACTGAGTCCATTCGGGCCGGGCTCTGGCCATTTATTTATTTTTTTTTGCAAATCGGGCTCGGGTCGGACTCGGGCTCATTTAGCTTTTCTCCTTTTATTGTGCCCATTAGGGATATGCCGGTATCAAATTTTCATCAATATCGTGCATACTCATTACCGTGATATATCGCATTACCGAATACCGGCACAAGTCTAGTGCCCATAGGCCTATAGATGGGCTCGGGCCGGTAATTCTGTCGGACACTGCGTCTCGGGCCAGGGCCGGGCTAGGGCCTAAATTTGAAGCCCGTGCAGGGCTCTAACTGACAGCGGCTGGTTGTCAATACATACAAATTCCATTATCTTTGCGGTTATAGCCTTAGCTTTCTTGCTGTCTGGTGTGTAAAGTTTGTGTTTTTTCAGAACGTCTGTAATGGATGGCTGAGTGAGAGTCGCATTACTAGTTACCGTTGCCTTTTTTGCAGTTGCCAGTTTTTCGTATTCGCCATACATCTCGCAGTGGCTCGTTCTTACGTGCCGAATCAGGTTCGTTGTATTAAATGTTTTGGACAATGCTCCTCCACGTGAGATTTCTTTGGAACATAAACGGCAAACAGCGAATTTTTCATTTTTTCTCGAAATGTCATAGTAATTCCACACCGGCGATGACATGACTGCGGCGCCAAATCATTTACGTCCCCACACATCATCTACGTCCTGACGTGTTGACGTCATCAAATTGCGATCGTTTCGTGAGATCGGTCAAGTTTAGTGAGCCATAAAATGTGATTATCAGCCGATACCGATCTCCGGCCGATCGATCGGAGCATCCTTACTCCATACCATATGGTCAAGCTGCTCCACAACAGCTCAATAGGGTTCAGATCCGGAGACTGTGCTGGCCACTCCATTACAGTCAGAATTCCAGCTGACTGCTTATTCTTCAAATATTGCTGACACATTTTGGAGGTGTGTTTTGGGTCATTATCCTGTTGTAGGATGAAATTGGCCCCAATCATGTGCTGTCCACTGGGTATGGCATGGCGTTGCAAACTCTTGTGATAGCTTTCCTTCCTCAAGGTCCCTTCCACTCTGTACAAATCTCCTATTTTACCACCTCCAAAGCACCCCCAGACCATCACGCTGCCTCCACCATGTATTGTTCTAGCATCTTTTCATTTGTTCTGCGTCTCACAAATGTTCTTCTGTTTGATCCAAAGACCTCAAACTTGGACTCATATGTCCACAACACCTTCTTCCAGTTTTCCAGTGTCCAATGTCTGTGCTCTTTTGGCCATCTCAGTATTTTGTTTTTATTGGCCAGTCTGAGATACGGCTTTTTCTTGGCAATTCTGCCATGAAGTCTAGCATCCTGAAGTCTGTTGATGTGGACACTGGTGTTTGACGGGTACTATTTAGTGCAGCTGCCAGTTGAGAACCTGTGAGGCGTCTTTGTCTTAAACTACACACTCTCAGATATATTTGTCTTCTTGCACAGTTGTGCATCGGGGCCTCCCACTCCTTTTTCTGTCCTTGTTAGAGCCAGTTTGTGCTGCTCTCTGAAGGGAGTAGTTAACAGCATGATAAGAAATTTTACGTTTCCTTGCAATTTCTCGCATTGAGTAGCCTTCCTTTCTAAGGACAACAATAGACTGACGGGTCTCTAATGAAAGTTCGTTCTTTGAGCCTGTAAACAAACAAACAACCGCTGATGTTCAGATACTAAACTAACCTAAAGAATGCCATGCTCCCTTGTTTGCTCTATTAGTACAATGGTTCTCAGCTGTGCAACACAATTGCAAAAGGGTTTTCTCATAATCAATTAGCCTTATAAAATGATTAACTTGAATTAGCAGCCATACCAGGAGATTGATGCAGAGGACTGACAATTGCTAATAATAGGCCTCTATGCAAAAATGTAGATCATTCTTAAACAATTAAAATTAATCAGATAATTTTTTGTGAAATGGATAAAATTGTTTGTGAATTGCATGAAAATGTGTTTTTCTTTGGAAAACAAAACAATTCGCAAGTGATCCCAAACTTTTGAGCGGTAGTGTATATTTTGTATATACTCTAGGTCAATGATTGATTGATTGATTTTTGTTCATTAAAAAAAAACTTTTCTGTACTGCAGCTTTAAAGCAAATAATATCCAGGTAACTATTCATGAATTGGGCACAAAATGGAGCCTAGAACCCAATTTTCTTACCAAATATTATCTGAACCATTTTATATTTATTTATATTACTAAAATTTTAAACATTTTACATCCCTGACTTAAAATATAATTAATGAAATATATAGTTAGTAGTTCTCATTACAAAAATGTGCAATCTGTAATGTTTAAAAATAATAATTCAGTAATTCAATTGAATGCATCAGAACGTTCATATTTCTACTGTCAGGATTTCCTTTCACATTTCTCTCTTTGATTTTTAATTTAAGTTTATTTATTTTAGTAATGTTTTAGTGATTTGCTGAAAATCAAACTTTTGAAACATTTGAAACTTTTTTTAACTTTCATTTTAGACCTGATAGAAGAGAACAAGGAGATTGAAGAACTAGTTGAAGCAGGGGAGAAACATCTGGTCAAAACTGAAGAGATATCCTGGAGTTCCTCATTGAAAAACGACAATATATGTTTCACTTGCTTTCACTGTGGAAAGAGTTTCTCATGCAAGCAAAATCTTGAGCTTGACATAATATTTCATTTTGGAGGGAAGCCATATGCATGTGATGAGTGCGAGAAGATTTTCACAATAAAAGGAAACCTTATTGAACACATAAAAATTCACACTGCAGAGAAGCCACACACATGGGATCAATGTGGGAAGAGTTTCCCACAAAAACAAAACCTTGATGAACATAAGAAAATCCACACTCTGGAAAGGCCATGCGAATGTGATCAATGTGGGACGAGTTTCCCATATAAAGGACACCTTGACAAACACATGAGGATCCACACTGGAGAAAAGCCGCACAAATGTGACCAATGTGGGAAGAGTTTCGCACAAAAAGGAAACCTTACCGTACACAAGAATATCCACACTGGAGAGAAACCATATGCATGTGATCAGTGTGGGAAGTGTTTCATACAAAAAGTGCCTTTTAATGATCACATGAAAATCCACAGTGGAGAGAAGCCATATGCATGTGATCAGTGCGGGAAGAGTTTCGCACAAAAAAGAAACCTTAACGAACACATGAAAGTCCACACTGGGGAGAAGCCGTTCACATGTGATCAGTGTGGGAAGAGATTCACACATAAAGGTAACCTTAATGAACACATGAAAATCCACACTGGAGAGAAGCCATATGCATGTGAACAGTGCGGGAAGTGTTTCATACATAAAACAAGCCTTAACGAACACATAACAATTCACACAGGAGAGAAACCGCACACGTGTGCTCAATGTGGGAAGAGTTATGCACAAAAAGGAGGCCTTAAAGAACACATGAAAATCCACACTGGAGAAAAGCCATACACATGTGATCAATGTGGGAAGAGTTTTAGAAAATCAGGCGTTTTTAAAGTACATCTGCTTAGTCATTCTAGAGAAAGGCTATATAGCTGTGATCAATGCGGTAAAAAGTTTTTTAGGGCAGATTTTCTGAAGGATCACCTGAAGGTTCATACAAAGGAGAAACCTTATGTATGTTCTTTGTGTGGAAAGAGTTTTAGTCAGATGGGTACTTTAAAATTACACCAGAAAAGACACAGCGGTGTGAAGGATCATGTTTGCTCTAAATGTGGTAAGGCTTTTTTTACAGATGGTGCACTGAAAGTGCACAGGACAGTTCACACTAGAGAAACACCTTACAAGTGTTCACACTGTGACAAGAGCTTCAAACGCTCAGAATATCTGAGGATACATGAGAGGATCCACACTGGAGAGAAGCCGTATCACTGCCCAACATGTGGGAAGAGTTTCACTCATTTTTCTTCTCTAACCGCTCATAAAAAAACCCACATGTCTGAAATGATAGAGTAATTACAGAGTAGTAGTTTTGAGTTCTGATCTGTAAGACTGCATAAAGCAAGTATATTGATAATTGATTAATCAAAGATTATTAGAACAAGTAATGAACTGATTGATTATTTCAGAAGAATATTTGAAGAGTTAATTTGCAAAAACGGATAACTCCGTTTTTAACAATTCTCAGGAATTATGCTTTTTCATTGTGCATTCCAATTAATCTCAATCAAATTGCAGTTGGGTTATTTAATATTGATAATTCATTTTAAATATTAAATTTAATATTAATATTGCAATAAAACACAATAAAAACATGATAACATATTAAAAAACATGATTTTTGAAAATAAAAAACCCCCGGAGTTTTTGTTTTTGCAAATAAACTCTTCATTTTTTTTATTAATCGATTTATTGTTCTAATCATTTTATTATCATTATTCATAACAGTTTTTCCCCAGGCCATATCCCACCTGAACAACACATAACACCTCAGTACTGTACATCTGTAAATAACTCCTCAAACCTTCATCTGTAAATAGCACATATGCACATTCACAGTTCTGTCAATGGACATTTTTCCTTTTTCTGTATATTTTTATTACTATTGTTATTTAATATTTGAGAGAGTAGACACATTATAGTGTTTTATTACCTTCATTTTATGTATCTCTGAACTATGTTTGTACTTTCTGTACTGGAAGCTCCTAACACCAAGACAAATTGCTTGTGTGTGTAAACACAACTGGCAATGAAGCTCTTTCTGATTCTGATTCCGATTAATTTGTCTTTCTATGTTTTTTAATTTATATCACTTAGGGTGGGTTGCACCAACAAGGATTAAATTAAGCAAAGTTTACAACAAATCAAGGATTTGTTGATGGGTTTTATTTTAAATCAAGTTGTGTTGCACCACTTAATTTTAAACACAGATTAACAAATCGGGGATTAGAATTCTAACCTGCGATTAAAATCTTCAGCTACGATTAATTTTCTACGCCATGATGAATTCACCATGTAATTAAACAGCAACAGTGTTAATATTCCTTATCCTAAAACTGTCTCTGACATAAGTTGTTTTGTCGATAAAGGAAATAAACTTGTGAAATGCCAGCCGTCTTTATAAACTGCTATGTAAAGAGACCGTTGATCAAACATCTGATCAAGCAAGCAATGAAAACATTGAGGTAGTGCATACGGATTTACATAGATCGATTACAAAACTATACGGGTATTCAAGGGCAGGCTATAAGATGGTTTAGATCCTACCTGTCCGATCGCTACCACTTTGTTTATTTAAACGGGGAGTCATCTCAATTATCACCAGTAAAATATGGAGTGCCACAAGGATCTGTCCTAGGTCCTCTGCTATTTTCAATCTATATGTTGCCCCTTGGTAATATTATCAGAAAATACAGGATTAGTTTTCACTGTTATAGTTGAGTATCATCAGCATATCTCAACAAGACCAGATGAAACTTGTACTGCAGTTATATCTGATCAAATGCACATTATTATTCTTTAGCTTGGTTTAAACAAATCAATTTTGGTTGGTTGGAAAAAGCAGCTTTGCTAATTATGTCTCTATTTGTTTCTCTGTTTTTGCGTAACTAGGATGACTAATAGGGATGGTTTACTAAACTTATTGCAGTATTCCACTGTATTGCTTAGATAGGTATAACATTGGAGTATTGAATAAGCCAAATACAAGTCTTCCTGATCTCTCTCTCACACACACACACACACACGTTTACTGTAGTTACACAAACAATTTTACTGTTTGCTTTTCTAGTACAACCCTCTTTCTTTAGCTCAAGTATGCAAACCTCTTTGCACATGCACTGTAATATGTATTATATTGAAAGTTAAATTTTCAAATGAAAATGGCAACATGATCGTTTCATAAAGTATTAGTTCATCTATATGAACTTAAGGCCTAAGGGTTTCATTTTCGCTGGAAGAAACAGCTGTAGTGTGATGAGGGAACGCAGCAAAAACTTTACAGTAGATGGGAAACTGATTGCTCCCCCATTATATTTTGTAAACTGTATTTATGACAAAGAACTGCACAGTTGCAGATATTATAACAATCTATCGATAAACACACCTTGTCCTCTGTTTCTCGCTCTGCGTCGCCGTGGTCTGCGGACTGAAGAATGCGCTGAAAGATGGGGAGGAGCCGAAGTCTGCCGCTGTTTTCATATGAAATTTAAAGGGGACTGAGGCGATCACGAATTCATGTACAGTTTATGGAGCTGATCGCAAAATTTTTAGGGGGGCTGAGTAGTCATTTTAGGGGGG